TTCAGCAGCAGGTGCGCTATCTCCAAGAGCGGCTACGCCGGCAGCCAGAGAGCCCAACAAGCGTTGCGATACGCCAGCTTGCTAAAAGCGCTCAGCTTGCGATGCAATCAGCAACAATACTCGCAGAGGAGAATAAGAAGCTGCGTGAAGAGAACCAGCGCCAACGACAAAAGCAGGACCAGCAGCGTCAATATATCGCTTCTGGTGGGGTGCTCCAGGTCCAACAGGGTCAGCAGATAGCTGCAGAGGCAGAAAGAGTAGTTGCAGAGGTTGAGCAGGGTGATAGTAGTCAGCGACGTCAGCGCGCGCCGCCAACGTGCACAAAGTGCCACGTTCAAGGGCATACGCGGACTTCATGCAGAGCTATATAAGGAATAATATCTCTTATTTCTATCTAATATTATTGCGTTGTTGTAGAGCAATTGCGCAGAACGTTAGGTCAAGTTTGGTGGGGTGGCCGGATGACTGGTGTGGCCGGATGACTGGTGGAACACGTTAGTGTAGTGAGCTTATATAAGCGGCCCGCTCAACTTCCCCCTCTACTTCGTCTTTCCATCCATGGGTCAACTCCCAAACCAACCTTGAAAACTCGCCATACACCTTTACCCTTGACTTTTGGAGATTGGTTCACTCATCATGACGGACCAAGAGACTTTTGGTGCAAAGCACGACCTGGAAGTTTTCCGCGTTACTAGTCTTCCACGTAGCTTTTACTATATTCCCAATTTTATTAGCGCTGAGGAGGAAGCATCAATCTTACAAAAGGTATGTTCCAGTCTATCATGTTACTCCTTCACCGAGCGAGTATGATGAGTTTCGCGCCAATGGCCATGAATATTATTACTCCGCCGGCCTGCATACTCGTCGTTTGTAGCCAACGTCTGGATCCTCCAACATGCCTAACCTGTGCAAGATCCCCGCCCAAAGATGGACCCACCTCTCCCACCGACGTCTCCAAGCAATCCCCTCGACACTAACAAAAAACAACACGTTGCTCGCTTCTCCACTCCCAGCTTACCTCACCACGCCCGTTGTCGACCGCTTTAAAGCCCTAGGCATCTTTGAGCATACACCCCACCAGCAGCCAAACCACGTGCTTGTCAATGAATACAGGCCGGGCGAAGGCATCATGCCGCATGAAGATGGAGACGCATACGCGCCTGTTGTCGCGACGGTCAGTCTAGGCGCAGCATTGTGCTTGGATGTTGTACGCAAGCCAGCGAAAGCACGTGATGAGGAGGACGGCAGTAGTAATCGTAGGCGTAGTAGTAGTGAAAATGGACCTGTGGCAGCACCAGAAGACCAAATTCATGACGGCGAAGAAGAAAAGGAAGAAGCATCATCATCATCATCATCATCAACAAATGGAGAATTCAAGCTCCCCACACGCATATACCAAGAACGTCGTTCCCTGCTCGTAACAACAGGCGCCGCTTACTGCACTCTGATGCATGGCATATCAGGCATTGCAGTCGATGAGGGCTTGAACGAAGAGAGCGTAGCGAATTGGCAGTTGGTGGGAGATACAAGGACGTTGGAGGCCATGGGGGGGATGAGTGCGCGGGGTGTCAGAACTAGTTTGACGTATCGGGATGTGCTTAGGGTTAGTGCAGCAGCAAGCAAAGTTCTTGGCGGTGGCTTTCCGAGGAAGTAGTATATGTGCATAGTATTGTTTTTTGACGCACAATGTTACAAAAGCAACTTTGGAACCCAATGCCTACCATAGATAGTCATGTGGATTACCTGCTGGTGTAGTACTTTTCTTGTTTTAACCTTTTCTTTCCCACACCGACAATGAAAAAGATTGATTTTTTCTATTTACCAGTTTTGTGCAAATTCCACACATGCCTTGGCAGTCATGGATTATTTCTTTAGTATTTTAATACTTGTCTCTGTCCTGTGGTGGAAGAGCAGAATATGAACGTGAGGGTTTTGCAGTAGATGAGACTGGCCTGTGTTGATTCCATAGTTATAGGCTAGTTCTGTATCATAGTTCTAGTGTTCAGAAGAGCAATAGTGCTATTCTCAGCTGAGGCGGATAGATGATTGCACGGAGATGTTAAATTACCGTTCCTAGCCTTGCATATGGTAGTCCGGTCAGCAAAAGGATACGCTAATTTTCGTGCGGCAATTGTATCCGGGATTATGGCCATTGGGAGCGTTATATCCCTCAGTGGATTGACTAGAGGGTGGGTAATGGGGCCGGATCGACCGTTAAGTTTGACATGGAAAGCTTGGCTTGAGACGGAAAGCTTGGCTTAAGAAGAGGCTAAGAAGGGGGGCGTTAGGGCTGAGGCGAGGTCGAGGCCGAATACGACTCCCCGTGCACCGGGGAAGCCGAAAATTGAGTCACCTAGACTGCGACTCACCCGCACCACTACAACGACAGCTTTACCATCTCAATCTGGGAAAGTAAGAAATGTACATGGTGCCTTGGCTTATGCGTCTTTAATAAACGATCAACACAGTCATTGCTGGTAAAAGTAGGTGGTGCTGATGCCTGATCTTGGCGGGCATAATTTCCCAGTACACGGATAGTACAATTCCTACTCACTAAAAAGGGGGCAGCCTGAGGCTCACACATGGTGGTTTCCTATGTTGCTCTGTCTCTGTCTGTCGGTTCCACGCTCAGATAGAGGGGTGTTTTGTTATTGAAAAAAAAGAAAAACGACGTGCAGTCAGGAAAAAGGATGCAGGCCACAAACAATCGCTCTACACCTAGGCTTGTTTGCTTCCTATTTGTAGAGAGCCAAAATTGGAGAAGAGATCACACTCAGAAAGTCCATTGTAGATTTAGAAAGAGATGTAGACATTATGAATTCGTAACCATACGATGTACGCTAAGATATTGGAGGAAAAGACAAAGGTGAGATGGCTGACAAACTACTCACACACCTAGATGGGATGATAGTGCAAGATGAAGTAGTTGGACATTGCCCTATATTGTACCCTGATGTGCAGGATATGCGTGTATGTAATGAACAACATTCCCCTTTGTAGCAGGCTCATGGCCTGGCTCACTGTTGCTTGGGATCATAATGTCCGGCCATTTCGGCGTTGCCTGGGTTGGAGCCTGACCTCCTCTCGTCTGCTAGTTTTTGAGATGTCTCAGCCACAGCCGCTTGCTTCCTCTTGGAGCCAATGAAGATACAAGCAACCCATACCAACCACATAAGACCGGCAATGACACCATAGACAATTTCACCGGCACGAGAGCCATTACCGGAGCAAGTAGCGAGTTTGAGTCCAAGACCGCCGTTGATGATACCAAGGGTGACAGCGATGCGGCCGACCCAGACGTGTGCATGTGTCCACATGGTAGCACCTCCAGTTCTCTTGTAGAAAACGTGGTGCATCCAGCCCAAGGCGGGTTGGAAGAAGAGAATGGCGAAAAGGACCAAACCAATGATGGGGTGGTGGTTGCTGAGCTGGTTTGCACCGCAAGCAATGTAGATACCGAGACCGACAGCAGCGATGTAGATGACATAGGCAAAGGCTTGGAAAGCTGCGTGGATCCAGACCAGGCCCGGGAAAGAGGCTACGCGGATAAGAATGGCACCGACGGGGAAGAAGATGACGAAGGCGAGGGAAGCGAGGACTCCGTGAGCAATGATCATTGCGCGTCTGTTGGAGCCACTGGCTCTGATAGTAGTCACGCCAGTAGTGGTGCTGCCGCCATTGGGTCTGCCGCCAGCTCCGCCGGTAGTAGCTGGTGGGGTGTTGATGAGCGGGTTGACGCTGGCACCACCCTTGGCATTTGCAAAGTCCCAGGAGAAGACAGCTTCGCTGGAATGCCTGGTGATTTGGGCCGAGACATCGTCCGAGTTGAGTGGGCCGCCCGACGATTTGTAGGCGTAGATCCAGTTGCCTTTGCTCGCTGTGAAATCCATGGTGCCGCCAGACCAGCTGTTGCAATTGGAGCACTTGACGTTTGCAGTCATGACACCGTTTGATACGCCAGAGCCTTCAAGCAATTGCAGTCTGGTATTGGGGTTGGCATCCGGGGGCGAGTGACTGCTGGTGGTTCGTGGGGATATGGTGACGTTGGATCCGCTCGACGACGTGTAGACAACGAACATGTTGGAGTTGGCCATGCCGTTACCTTGGCCCAATGCAACGTACTCATATTTGCTTGGTGCTTGGATCTGGAAGAAGATGTCTCCGGTACCCGAAGAGGCAGTGCTCTGAGGAATGTTCAATTTGAAGCAGACGTCATTGGAAGGGCATACGGTGCCGACTTGGGCAGAGGCGATGGAGGCTGGGGCGAGTGAGTTGAGTGCTGGAGCAGGAGGGTGACGGGAACTGACCAAGTGCCAAAAGGCCAAGCACTGAGGACGCCGTGGCGCTTCTCATTCTATTCAATGGAAGTGTTTGGAGGGGGAAGACCGAGGGGGGCCAATGGGGATGTATATGTATGTATATGTATATATATATATGGGTATAGATATATATTCCAACAAGCGGATTGGCGGGGGAAGTGAAGGAGCCGTGCAGCCAAGATGAGAAGGGCGGGCATAAACAAAGTACTTATGTCGAGTGAGGGGATGAGGGCGAGATGTGTGTACCAAGGACACGACTAAGACGAAGCCCAAGAATGATGCTGACAAAACCGGGGCTAGGCATGCGGTTGCAGGCGCGGTACAGTGACTCGGTGAGATGGGTATACGCCAGGAACGGAGGGTGTAGCGACCGGACGAGATGTGATTTGAGGAGAAAGGCCGCGTCGCGGCGGCTTTGCGGAGACCCGTCAGCGCGCGTGCGGAAAGTGCACAGCAGAGCGGAAGAACGAGGTACGCGTCATGTCAAAGGAAAGCTGGGGTGGGGGCTTGGCCGTAGAAACAAAGGAGCAGGTGGTAGCGGGCCAATGGGGGCGCGTGTATATGCACGGCGAGGTGGGAGTGGGAAACCCCGAGGCAGGGACAGGGCTGGTGGTGAGTTTCCTTCACCACCACCACACTCGCCGCCACCCCCGGCGGCGGCTTGCGTGCAGCGCAGCGGCTGTGACTGCGTGTGAGCATGCGTGTGAGTGCGCGTCTCGTGTCGTGTCTTGGAGGATGCAGCGCCTGCATCATGATGCCCAGGACAAGCCCGCCGCCCTCCGCCCGCCTGTGCTTGGCTCCTTGGGGGACGGGCGGTGCAGTTCCCCATGGCAGCAGGACCGCTGCGACGACGCCGATGCCCGTCATGACAGCGATGGCCACGATGGCCATGACGAGCGACGCTGTGGTGGCCTCCGCCGGGCCCGCCGCAACGCCACGGTGGCTTTGTGTTTGTCTTAGTCGTGGCCGGCCGCTGCTTTGCCGGCTGTACTCCGACGTACGCGGTGGCAGTGGCTGGAGCTCCGGAGTAAGTCGCGCTCGACGCCCGAAACCACCATGGCAGCCTCAACACCATGGACACGTCGGAAGGGCCATGGACGACGGGCGACGCAGCGCTGACTGCACGCCCATGGCCAATGGCATGGCTGCAGCGGCTGTGCCGACACCGGGCCTGCGTCGCTGGTCGCTTGCTGTGACGCCGCGTCACCGTGCAGTCGAGGTGTCGGTGGACACGGAGACGGCTGTCGGGACATGCGGGTGGTTGGCGGCGGCGGCGGCGTCGTCGTCGTCGTCGTCGTCGTCGTCGTCGTCGTCGTCGATGCTGTTTCACTGCGCTGCGCTTATCCACGCCCGCCGTGGGCGTGGGTGCGTCCAACGGCTGGCTGGACATTCCGCTGCTCGCTTGTTCAGCCCTGCACCACGCACCCACCGGCCCTATTCGCGGCCTGGGCACGTCCGTGGCCAGATTTGGGGCGTTGCACAGCCCAAACTCAAATGCAAACGGCCACTTCTCGGCTGTCTTGGGCTTGAGCAATCGGTGGGGGAGCTGGCCGCCTTGCCCACGATTACAATTATGCTGTGCATCGACGTGTGTATAACGCGATCGTGCCTCGTCGCCCAGAGAACGCGCTCAGGCTTGGCGGGCCTCGACTCTGCCCCGTGACCGCCCACAATACGAGCAACCACTCCCTCCGCTACCTCTACCACCACCACCACCACCACCACCCTCACCCCCCCCCCGCCATCACCCCCATCATCATCGCCCGCGACAAAAAAAAAAAAGGCCCGCCACCTGGCCTCGCCGTCCACCTCGCTGCATTGCGCCCGCCTGTTTACCCGCCCATGTAAGTCCAACGTTTCGGTGTGTGTCTCCCCAATTCACCCGAGACTGGCTGCTGCACCCAAACTCGCACCTACACCTATACTGACTGACTTAGCGCTCCTGCAGTGACCAAGTCACAATCTCCCGAAACTAGCTTCCGCTTTGAGGCCATGAATGCGTCCCATCCCAGCTCATAGCAATTAATGCTACCTGTTGCCAGTACACCCGCCACCCCAGCGCGCCTCGTTTGCGTCCCCCGCGCCGTTAGCCTGCATCATCGTCGTCTGCCTGTTCTGCCCAAATCAACCACCACCACATGACCGCATTTAGCCTTCTCCAAATCCCACCAGATGACTCGCCTCGTCGACTGCCTGCTTGCCAAACTCACTTGCTCCCCGCCTTTGTCGACACGGCACAACGGCCTGCCGCCGAGCCTGCCGAGGCCTGCGCCTCCCAAACATGTGAAGCATGCCGTACAACAGTCATCCTTTAGTCAGGGTGCGCACTGAACCAACCTCTTCACCGTCTCTTCCTTGTCCTAGTCATATAGTAATTGATACGGCAGCCCCGGAATTCTTGACATGCCATCTTTCCACCTGTTCGCTCCCACGACGCTGATCGCAACCCTGTCGGCACAATCTGCCGGCGCTCCAATCCGCCATGTGCCCTTTGGTGATAGCATCACGGAAATTGTGTGCTGGAGTAGCGACTTCTGCCAACCTTGTTAATCTACTCAATGGGCCACTGTGCATTGGGTCGGCATCGGGTCGGTCCGAAAACACCTATAGCGACTCGGCCTATGACAGCCACCACAACCGCCATTGCGCATTTGTCGCAATCTGTTTGCCCATGACAATCAGTTGTCTGCATGCCCGCAGCAGACTCGGGCACATGGCATGCCCTTGGGCATGCATCTGCAACTTATCTAATGGCCCTGTGCAGCATAGCTAGGGCCGTAGCAGACATGATGGCAGCATTCAGCAAGCTCGTACATACCATGCCACTATTCCATCACGCCATGAGCATCGTCGTGCGCCTTTCATCTTCCATCGTCATCGTCGTGTGTATCCTTAATCTAATCATCGGGCCATTGGAATAGACATGGGAAAATGCCGATAGCTTGTGCACAGTATCCCCATGGGGCCTTGGAAACTGCTACAACACCATGATTCAAGAGCTCAATGGTGCAATGGCATTCCATGGGCAATGCGGCCTTGATCAGGCCGAGCGTCCTATTTGCGTCGTCGACCAAAACACGCGAGGTTCAATGCGAATTCTAGTCTCGGGCATTGTCTTCACCCCAGCCACTCGGGCCATGTCAAACACGCCAAAACCAAAACCGTGATACCCGACCCTCACATGAGCGTTGGAGGCGGCCAAATCTAGTACGTGGATGGTACCGAGCGAATTCACCGCGCAGACGCCAAGCAAGGCGACTAATGCTAGAGTCGGTGGTGACGGGCTGACGTGCACATGCAATATGTATATATGCGCTGCGGTAGCAGTAGGCAGAGGCGGACAAACTCAAAGTCTTACAGCCGCAGCTGAGTAATAGTAGTAGTAAATGTACATGTGTGATCCCATAGCCACATTGTGTGGCGTGCCCTTTCACTGACTAACGGACAATGTGGCTGGTCACGTGCTCGTGAACGCCAAACGCACGTGATGCTGACGCACTGACACAACGCTAAAGTCTTCGTGGGGCAACAACGCCCAAAATGTCGAGCGTCCAGACGCATCAACAAATAACAGCACCCTCGACGCGGCAACCGCTCAGCATCCCAAAGTCTTCGCACCCTTACCGTCGCATGCTCTTAGCCCATTGCCGATCATTCCGGAACACTCCCCTAGACGCCAATTTCTAGTCATCCGCCATGGGAGAATCAAGGTACGGCCACGCAAGTGGGGGGAGGGGGGTCTTTGGGCTTAGGCTCCTCCTCCCTCCCTCTTTGCCTCAACTCCCTCCTTATGCTGTGTAGACGTCGCTTCACATCCCAAGCACGCGCTGACTGTAACGATGGCGCAGACAAGAACTCGTCGCCTGGTTGAACAACCTTCTTCAGCTCAACATCACCAAAGTCGAACAATGTGGTACAGGGTACGTCGCCTGCACGGGGTGCACATGGTGCACAGTCGGGGGAGCGGCAACAGCCTCTGGACACTTGGAGGGCTGATACTGATGGTTTGATACAGAGCAGCCTTGTGCCAGGTCTTTGACAGCATATTCTGTAAGGCTCTCAACTTGCTCGTCGTCCGAGTGTCGTTAAGCCTAACAGTGTACAGATGATGTACCCATGAGCCGAGTCAAGTTCAACGCCAACACCGAGTATGCATACCTGCAGAACTTCAAGATATTACAGAGTATGTCGGATTCATAGGGGGGGGGCGCCCCTTGTCATTGCCCTGGCTGACCAAGGCAGACACGTTTGCCAAGCACCAGATCGACAAGCCGATCCGCGTCGAGTCGCTAGTCAAGTGCAAGATGCAGGACAACCTCGAGTTCCTCCAGTTTGTCAAGCAGTACTGGGACCAGCACTTCCCCGGCCACGAATACGACCCCGTCGCCCGTCGCAAGGGCCAGGCTGGCCTTGGCTCCGGAGCCGCTCCTGCATCTCGCCCTGCTGCCTCTGCCCGAAGAGCCCCGGCTGCTAGCAACACGGCTGCTCCCCGAACACGTACCCCTCTGGCCTCTGGAGGAGGAGCTGCCTCGGCCGCGCTGCGCGAAGAGAACAACGCACTCAAGGAGACGGTCACCGGCCTTGAGCGGGAGCGCGACTTTTACTTTAGCAAGCTTCGTGATATTGAGCTGTTGATCCAGCAAGCGATGGAGGCCGACCCCGAGCTCGAAAAAGACGAGGGACTGCTCAAGCAAATCCAGACGATTCTCTACTCTACCGAAGAAGGCTTCGAGATCCCACCAGAGGCCGAGGGTGTTGAGGAGGAGACGTTCTAGCCGGGCGGTGGTTCTCTTGATGCCCCGGTCAAGACGCAGAAGACAATCAGGCAGGTCATCTTGGGTGCCAAGGCATTGCTAGAGGCGTCTGGGGAGGCCCAAGCCGCCGAGGCTACTGGAGCTGCCAAAGTCAATAAGTCTGCCAACGTCGCTGGCCCTGTCCAAGTTACTGGGTATCCACAAGTCAGCGAGTTTCTGCAAGTTTCTGAATCGATGCCATCTCCAGCGCCTACGTCGTCTTATGCATTTACAGGATCTGCCTCATTCCCTTTGTGTGCCGGGTCCTCGGAGCGTGCAACGTCCTGACGAGGGAAGATTATATTTGCATTTGGAAGCGCTAGCGAGGATACCACTTTTTGGCGAGTTTACTTTGTACTGTTCAAATAAGGTTAATGGGTCGCACACCATGGCCCGCTAGGGCTAGGTGGGCGACGGTAGCACATGTGCTTGCGGACTTTATATCTCTTGCAGTTCCCCAGACGCAGTAGCATGCGCTATTTTTCGTTTCTACAATATAGAGTCGGTCTCACAATGCTCACTACTTTTGTCTTCCCCCTAGCCGCGACTGGATTGCTCTTGTGCGAGGCCGCAGAAGGCGGAGACGTGATGAGATGCAGGTGATTGCGCGGGACATGGTGCGGTACTTGGTATCAGTACTTACCCATGATCGGCCTCGTTGAGCTCTACTGCTCGCCTGCTATCCACGTCTTTACCTTCGCACACACACGCTAAACACTGGATCGAGACATGCACCACCAGCTAGTCGCCCCAATCTGGTCTGGCCAACCAACAGCCTCCGGTCAGCGCTCAGCGATGATGACGAGCAAAGGTTGAGATATGCGCCCACGTGTGCATCACCGACCCCGCATTGCAGGCTACCCCTCCCTGCGCGTTGTGGCTAGCTAACCCCGGCTGGAACATGTTGAGAGCTTGCGCGTTTATATGTACAGAGCGCGCGGTCGCTACCTCTTCAGTTGTTGCTCCTCTGTTCTACCTCTTTGCCTCTCCTGCCAAAACCTGATTGCATCTCGAGCCATCATGTCCAGCTGGACCGACTTTACCCAAGCTTTGAAGGGCATTTCGGACACGCTCCCCAAGCTCCTGGAAGCCGACGACCAGTTGAAGGCCTTTACTACCTCGAATGCCATTGACAAGCCCATGACCTTTGGCATCAAGTCGAGTGCCTCTGACAATACGCTTCTCGTCACCGTCACCAACGGCAGCGCAAAACCCAGTGTGGGAACGTCCAAGGATGCCTTGTTCACGCTGTCAGCACTCCCACAGCAATGGGAGGAGCACTTTAAGCCAGTTCCTGCTATGCCCTATCAAAGCTACTGGGGCATGTTTGGCATGAATATCAAGCAAAAAGGCATTGAGGTCATGGGCGACCAGACGGCCTTTGCCCAATGGACACATGTCTGGAGACGCGTTCTCGAACTCGCACACGACTCACATTGCGGGCCACTTCCAGAGGAAGAGCAGCCCGAGCCCGCGCAAGACTTTCTCACTGGCAAATACACTTTTCTGGAAGCTCCCGTGTGGGGTCGGTGGTACGCAGGCTTCCTTTGACCCCCGTCTTTGCATGCCAACAACCGCCATGCTGACTTTGCACTTGGACGTGAAGCAAGGTCTTTTATGAATACTCGGGTGAGGGCAAGCAAGCCATTGTGTTTTTGCATACGGCCGGAAGCGATAGCCGACAATACCATGGTGTCATGAACGACGCGAAGATGCGCAAGAAGTGCACCATGTATGCCTTTGACTTGCCTGCTCATGGCCGCAGTTTTCCCACCAAAAACGCCACGGCGCATACGAATACCGAGGATAGCTATGTTGGAATCATCGCTGCTTTTGTCAAGAAACTGGGTATTCGCCGGCCAATTATTTGCGGTGCGAGCATGGCCGGTCAAGTCTGTCTTGCCGTCGCCATTCGACATAGGGAGGTCGGTGCAATAGGCACTATTCCTCTGCAGGGGTAGGTACAAAGTCGAGCAGGGAATCGGGAAGATGTGTTTGTGCTAATGGTGGCAGCTCCGAATACCTCAATATGGAGCGTCAATGGAACGATCGTTCCCCATATGTTAACCAGGCCTTGTACAATCCCGAGTGGGTGTATGGTGTACGTGACAACATGTCTGGCTTGGAGGGTTGTCACTGACGCACTGTAGATGATGTCGCCCACTGCGCCTCGAGCAAATAAGCAACTTATATGGCACTTGTACAGTGCGCAAGCCTACGGTGTAAGTTTCAACACGATCATCTTCTTACATACTATCTGTTTGGATACTGAAACTGGTACAGATCTTCCATGGCGACCTCGACTTTTACTTTGGCGGCTGGGACGGCCGATCCCGCGTCGCGTCCATCGACACACAGAGCTGTCCCGTGTACATGCTCACGGGCGAATACGACTGGTCCAATACGCCCGACATGTCGCAGAAGACGGCGGACAAGATACCTGGTGGAATGCACAAGGCGATGCCGGGCCTGGGGCATTTCCCCGCAACAGAGAACCCGGCAAAGTTTGTGCCGCACTTGATTGAGGCGATTGATCACATCCAGAAGATTCGCTCGAAGAATATGAGTAACATGAGGCTGGGCGATGGAACGGATTAAGGCGTCTGCATCATCCAGTTGGGCTACTGCAGGATGTGGCCAGTGCATAGACTACATAGCAAGAAACAGAATCATTGCTTGTACGCGTGCATGGACAATTATACTAGTGGTTTCGCTAGGGGTATCATTCATTAAGCTATGCTTGCCATGTCAATGCGCCATTATTCAATACCCTCAACTCCCGCCCATGGATGATGAAAGCGCAACACATGCCACTGCCGAACAAAAAGAAGAAAAAAGAAAACAAAACATGTCTACATGCAGGAAAGATGGCGATTCCAACGCCTACCTGATCTTCTCAATCCGCTTCTTTGCAATCTTGACCTTGCCATCCACTCGCTCTATGTCCTCTTCAAACAAGCCGAGGAGCGCATCCTGCTCGACAAGCTCAGCGTTGATTTGCACACCCATTTCCTTCATCCGGCGCACAACCGTCGTTAGGTCGACTAGATCCTCGTCTTGCTCTTGGATGATTTGTCGCTGTAGTTGCAACACGCCCTCATTGTCTAGTTCCCTTGTTCGATCCGTTTCCTGCGCGGGGGCCCCCAGTACGCGGCGAGACGAGGGCTTGGACGACGTCCCGGCACCCTTGAAAAGTCCTGCTTTCTGCGACTCGGTAACGGCGGCCGACGACGTGAATGGTGTGGCCGACGAGCCCGAGCCCGAAATGGCCGCCTTGACGGCCATGCTATTGAGCACCGATTCCAGGCCGTCGCGCTCCTTGCGGAGCCCGCTTACTACATCTCGTCGTCGACGCAGCTCGCCCTGTCCTAATTTCTCGCCACTCCACTCGTCTGCACTGCCCCCACTCAGGCGCGTTAGCCCCTCGTCTAGGGCTGAGATGAGGGTGCTCGCTCTGACGAGGCTCTTCTTCGCGTTCGCCGCCGCTTCGTGCTGCGCAGTCGCGGCAGTCGCTTGTTCGCGCTTCGTCAGCCAGCGCCTTGCGTCTTGCAGATTGCTCTTGAGCTCTCCATGCTTGTCCAGCCAGTCTGAATTATCCCGCACTCTGTCCCTTCCAAACTGCGAGCCCGGCAGACCGCTGGCCCTTTTCCCGTTGCTCGCCTCTTTATCACCCAGGCCCAGAAACGCCTTGTAAGCTTTGGAGACGCGCCACCGCCCGTCTTCGGCTGTCTCGATGGCGCGCAGGTAGGCCTCGAGGCCGGCTCGACGCTTCTCAATGGCCTCAGGCGAGCTGGCAGTGCTGCCTAAGCCGAGGAAGCCACCCAGCCACGACTTTGGGGGCAGCGGTGCAGGCGGCGCAGATGCAACTTCGGAGCGCAGCGCGCTGTCGAGGGCGCAAAAGTCAGAGTAGCGTTTCGAAGTTGTGGTTGCTGCGCGGGGAAAGGGATGCTCGATCTTGACCGTGTAGGATATGTAGGCCTTGGCGTTCTCGGGCGTCTCTTGCCGGGTTGTGGGAATGGAGAGTTTGAGTGACGGCATCGTGGTGAAGAGGTGCGAGTTTGACAGGGCGAAAAAGGATGTTGTCGGCAAGAGGGGGCCGTGTGGCTGGCACGCGCAGGCAGGTGACGCCGGTAATAGTACTTCCACTTGCGTGTGGTCGCGTGCGCCGATGGCTGCCGAATGCAAAACCTGGAGTTTGCTTAGTGCGCGCGACTCGGTCGAGGGCAGACTCGAGCTGCAGGCAGAAGCGCAGTGAGATGAAATAGTTCCAGCAACAGAAACTGGGGCGCAACATGGCGGCTTCGCAGGGGCGTTGACGTCGTTGGGTGAAGCCGCGGCACGCTAGCGCCACGTGCGTTGCCGACTAGTCTTCAACACCACGACGGCACGGCATCGTGAAGTTCCTTTGGACAGCCTGCAGGCATCCGTCATGTGATGTGGCGGAGGATTCGCAGGCGAATATGGAGATTCGAGTTGCGCTTGAGTCCTCCGAGATGGAATACAACCAGCAACTGCCCTAGAAAAGCAATGAGATCAAGCCTCCTGCACATGCAGCGAACCGAGTTCCGACTGCGTATCCCTCACGTGACCTGCTCTCATCAGCGCACTCTACTTTGACCTCACTCCTGTGTCCACGAGTCTAGTGACCGTTCACAAATCAAATTACATATCCTTATCGACACGGGTTTCTCTCTACTTCTTCTATCCACGTTTTATCTCTTTTTCCCTCTGTGGAGACAGGGGGGAGGTGTACATTTGGCCAATATAGCATGGCAACACGACACAGCACTAGGTCATATACCTATATCCAGCCATGATCTTCATGCCCTCCTCGAGATTCACACCCTCAGTGGCGGCAGTCTGCTCCGCAACATCACCGTGAACAACCCATGTATCGATGCCCTCGTCCAGCCTCTTGTTTAGTCGGATGAGCATGGCTCTGAAAATGAGACATCCAATAATCGTCACACCAAACATGGCTGTCACTACACCGTAGCTGTTCCTGTATCCATTGTCCGTCATATTCCACACATAAGAGCCACAGATGTTTCCAACTGGCCATTGGGTTAGCCGTTGACGAAATTCTTTTTGGAGTATTCCGAGTGAGTACCGTGCGGGAGTAGCGAATTTTACCACGCAGTAGGCTCCATTACTCAAGGATCTATACAACATTGGAAGTGGGGAGTATACGTACTTTGACTGAGAGCATTGATCATAGCAATCGCTACGGCCCTCTTGGCCGGTGGTCGTGGGAATGAGGATGATATCCACGAGTACACCACGATAAAACCAGCGTAACTCGAGCTTTGCAAAAACAACGCCACGTAGCGTGCTGCTGTATTCGAAGTTGCCATGGAGATGATAAATCCGACGATGCCAACGAGGACCGGTCCAATGATGTGCCAGCAGCGTTCCTGCTGGCGATCCGAGTGCCATGCGTTCACTAGACTGACGAAACACGACAAGATCCACGGAGGGGCACTTAGTAGGAGCGTCTCGGTTTTCCCAAAATTCAGCGTCTTTGTAAGTGATGGAAAATAGCTGTTAAACGAGAGGCCCAAGACATAGGCAATGAAGGTGATTGACAAGACGTAGATTTTGACATCCTTGACAGCCATGAAGAGGCCGGCAAAGGCTGATTGCTCCTCGGAATCTTTGTCAGCTTCGCCAACATCTTCAGTCATGCGCAGGACAGCAACAGCGCGCTCTTCTTCGGTGAAACCGCGCGTGTTGTGCGGCAAATCCGGAAGAATGAATGCAGCAGCTATGGCTATGGCCATGGTAGCAGCTCCTTCAACCCTATTATCGGTGTCACAATGCTGAACCCAAACATGCATGGTGTTGAAAAGCATACGTACCAGTATAGCCAGCGCCAGGCTTCGTGACCGAGAGTGCCTTCCATGTTGCCCAAGACAGCTGCGCCGACTAGGGACGAGAAAGCGTTGGAGATGAGATTGCCGCAGAATAATATGGCATTCCGCAGGGCAAGCTCACGACGAGTATACCACTTTGACAGGATCAGCAAGGCTCCTGGTAGGAAAGCGGCTTCCACAAATCCGATGCAAAAGCGAATCGCAACCATGCCTCCGAAGCTATTGACATTGCCACTCAATGTGCTTATCATTCCCCAGAGCTACCATTCAATATGATCAGTAAAGGTATCATGTGAAGAAAAAAGACGCGGCTTCCATACCAGCATGACTGCAGCAATGTAGATTGATGGGCGAGAAATCACGTTGATGATCATATTTGATGGGACCTGCATCAAGATGTAGCCAACATAGAGGATACTGAGGCACGTCGAGTATTGTGTAGGACTAAGGCCGAGGTCTTCTTCTAGCCCACCCAGACGTGCTGCGGCAATGTTGTTTCGGTCGAGATCTGATGGGCTGAGTGTGAGTGTTGGGTTTCAAAAACGCAAAGGGCTGCTTACAGTTCATGATGTAGATCAAGACGAACAACGAGCATCTCGCGTCCAGCTTGCGCTTCAGTGACTTCTCAACCTGCATTCTCTTCTCAGGACTGAGATTCGCGGCGATTCCCCCAGGTTTTGTGCGGTGCTCCGACAGCTGGGCCGTCGCGTCATGGGCGGATATCTTCTCATCCTCGTACCGTGTCGACATTCTGCTGGAGCTTTTCCCGTATCGTTGAGCAAAAGGCGATGACCATCCAGCGACAGATTTAGGGAATTTCCTCTTATTATACGTGCACCTGGAGATTGGGGCTCCAGCCGACTCCACTGCGGGCCTCCATACTATCCCACCTTACCCCACTAAACTTGGCTTCAACCAGATACCGTTACATGCCCAAGGAGCCTGCATCGCGCATCGGCCATACCGAGTTTTCTTGACACTGACAGCATTCTGACCATTGAGCGCCCCAGCCAAGCGGGCGCCAGTGGCGAAAGCTTGATACTGCTGCAAACACCCCCTCCAAAAGAGAATATCCCCCCGCACTATCCATGGCTGTGTGTAGAACAGTGCCATTTCCTGCTCGACGACAAGGGAATGCAAGCGGTGTGTTCATCCCCCACACTGGGCAGAGTTCCCGATACGAGCAAGGCTCTTTAGCCACGCCATGGCAGCGCTTAGCCAGAGCTTGTGACCGGCTATGGTCGGCGTCGGCCAGCAACAGTGCGAATGACCCTCGATTCGGTGTTGCGATTCCGATTGCCCCTCCAATGAGCAGGACACTGAGCGCCGGCATCTGCATAGCTCAAAAGCCGATGTGGATGCGACATCCGAGGGTCGCCTCGTTTCCACTTGGTTACGCGATAGGCGATTCAGTGAGTCCGTATTCGCGTAAATAAAACTGGGGCACATGGCCCGCCTGCAGAGTGGTGGTGGGAGTCGGTTGTGTATGTAAGAGGCTGGGGTGAAAATTGTGCGGAGGACTGAGCCGACGCTTTTCCCAGAAGGACGCTACTTAGTGATTTTGCATGTCGACGGCATTGGCATTTCCTTGGACATTCGCTTGAGCCGCATATTTACCGCCTGCATCCAGGATCAACGCGGGAACTGGATTCGTCGGCCCAAGTCGCCGCGGGATCATCAAGGCAAAGTTCGGAACGGTTAAGTAGCGGCTCGTGTAACTGAAATGCATCTGGCACGCGTGGGGTGGGTTATGCTGTCTACCGGCTTCTGCTAAGCCTGAGTAGGCATAGTAGCTTCTGTTTGTTGAGGTTGTTTGTTGGTGATTTCAACGTACTGACGTAGCGTCTTTCTGCTACCTCATTACTACAAACACATCCACGACTACTTCTTTGTCTTCTACTTCTCTCTTTTCACATTGTACTCATGGGAAGACTTAGCAGATGGGTGAAGAAAGGTCCAAATTACAGATTGAGCCACGAACAGCAACATACACACCAGCCCCCATTCCTCCCCTCAACCCGCCACCCTCTTACCCCAATCTTTATAGATGCACCCGCCTCACTCTTTTTTCAACTGCCTCAGGATATCCGGAGCTTTACACTTAGCACGGCCTTCGGCGCGCGTACCCTGCATATCGACATCAAACGGCATGACGAGGGTTGGAAATGGAGAGGCGCTGTTTGTTACAGAAACATGCCAGAGCTGCCACCCGCGCCATACGGTTGGCTTGGTCCTTGGAGCGATCCATGTATGAATATCGTTCATGAGCAGAATGGAAAACTCTCGAAGGGGTATAACATTGGCATAATGGGGTTTCTGTTGTCATGCAAACAGGCCTACGCCGAAGGCATGCATGTTCTGTTCTCTGAGAACTGTATCAACATCCAAAGCGAGTCCCTGCTCCTTCACCTTCCGCAGCTCATCACGTTCAATCGGCTCGCATCGATCACTTCCCTCGAGGTTGTCATCACGGCACATCGTGTACAGAAGGAAGATGAGAAGGCATACTTCAACTGGGATCACCTAAAACCCATCCTAGACAATATTTCCACACACTGCCATCACCTCCGCAGCCTTTGCCTATCTTTCATGTTCGCTGATGGCAGCCATGGGATACTCGACAGCCCAGCACTGTCCTGGATCGACACCTTCCATAATTCCATGCAGTTACGCAAAATGAGGATTGAGCTGCCTACTCAAGCCTATTGGACCGCAAGACACTGTTGGCCCGAGAGCCATTGTCAGTCGATGGAGAGCTATCCGCTTGAAGATGCAATCAACGGAGCGCTGTCAGAGTGGTTATGGCGGTCTTTGGATGACGAAAAGCCTATAGTACAGATTAGGTCTACTGAACGCTATCCGTATCCTCCGCTAAAACTACCCGTGGCTGAAAACTGGAATATGAACCTGGAGAGCTCAGGTTACTGAATTGCTGAGGGTGACCAAGGACCAATCAATCCACGAGTGTGCTTTTAGGTAGCCTTTCATTGTATACGCATAGGTATAAAGTATAATAGTATTACCTTATCACACTACTAGATTAGTTCATTGTAGCTAATAACATACAATTCTCAAGTTCAACGCGAAGGGAGAGGGGTATCACTTCTAATATAAAATAACAAATATAAATAGGCTTTTATTACATACTATAGAGGAAAACAGTAGATAGAAACCTAGTTTAAGTAATCTTTTTATTAGATTACTACTTAAGTAAAGTACTTAAGTAAGTAGGCTATATATATTATAAGCTTAAGACTAGATTTAGTATAATAGCTTACATAATATATAATATAATTACTAAAAGCGCTTAGTAAGGCTATATATAACTACTTAATATACTCTTGATATAAGCTTTTCTACTATAAGAACTTATAGTGTTGTGGAGTGTTATTCACTTCTAGCTACGCGGGTGCTATGTGGCTATATAGGTTCTATTACAAGTAGTGTAATAGTTATTCTAACTATTACTAAAGTATATAAGCTTATATTCTAATAGGTGTTTAGAGAATATATATATATATATATATTTTATATTAATGTTATCTATCTTCTTACTATTTCCTCCACTCTCTAGTTGTATACCTGTCTCCTAGTACTATCTAACTACCTTCTAGCTACTAGGATATACCTCCTAGTTGGTCTACTACAATAGTGGTAAGCTTTATAATATAGTAGGTTATATAATACTACTACTTATATATAAACTTAGTATTAGCTACCACTTATAATAGTAAAGCTATTATACTTTAATTTTAAGCTATTAAACTTAATTACTATAGCTTATCTTAAAAGTTACTATGAACTTTTTTTTATTAACTACTAAAAGTAGATTTTAGCTTTTATTAGTAGTTATATGATTTTTAAAATTATTTTTCAAGTTATATATACTTAGAATAAGTTTATATAAGATACTTTGTTTAATTTATATTACTAGAATAAAATAATTACTGACTATGAGTAACGTATTCCATCACCAAGCAGGCCACATCACCAAGTGTGCCACTTTTTCTTAGCATCACGAACTTTATATATAAAAACTTAGATTACTCTATACTAGCTATAGATGCTTTATATAACTTACTTGTATCTAAAAAAGAATCTTTTTCTACATCTTTCTAGCACGTATAAGAGTTATAGCCTATCCTCTTATAGGTTCTATAGTGCTATTAACCTAGTAGGGCCCTTTCTTAACTACCCTTACTACGTGCCTTCTTTAATGTCGTATAACTAGCAGAACCACTTTTAGCTACCTGCGATGCCTTTACACTAAAGTCTAGTGTCCCACCTATCTAAATTCGCTTTCTTTTGCGCTCTTAGCGCTTTATCACTGCTACTAATTGCTCTTTAAGCTCTCTTACGTGGGCCTTTATAAGCACATTCTTATATAGCATCTCTTTAGCCCCTTTAATAAGCTTTAAAAAGCCTTTTTATATAGTAGTTAGCAATTGTATAAAAGACTCTTTTATAAGCTTAAATTATAACCTAAATTTATACAAATTACTTAGTATTCTTAATATCTAAGGTATTTCTAGCTAAGCTTCTTATAGTAGAGTATAAAGGCGTACGTTAAGGCGATTAATAACTCTCTACGCGTTAATAAGGACTAGCCCTACTACCTTAAAGGCCTTTTTATAGTAATTAGATGTGAACACGATAAAAAACGCATCTTAAAAGGCTAGAAAGAAGCGCTCCTTATTAAAAGGCTAAATATAGTAGCGTGCTAAGTCTTATACACGTTAAGAGTACTTCTACTTAAAAGGTAAAAAGTAGATAATATTAAGTAGCTAAAGTATATGTAATAAATAAGTAGGTATATAGAGGGTAAGGATCTTTTATATAAGGTAGTAATTCTTAAATTCTTAGTTAAGGTAGCTTTTATAGCTATTAAGGATAAGTAGCCTATATAACCCTACCTAACGCGTCTTTATATGCTCGTTAAAGTGCTTTAACTACGCAAGACTAAGCTTATTATTCGTCTAGCTATTCTTTAATACTAAAAGCTTCTAGTTATATAGTATATTTGCTTTTTCGTACTATATAGAGATATAGACGCATCCTTTGTAGATAATAAATAGCAAAGTAGCGTATCCTGCAGCGCAGATGCTCTAGATGACTATAACCCACTCGCGATTGCCTAGCTGCGTGAGAGTAGGCCTCGTACAACGCTCTACGCCTGTGACTGCCTTTATTAAGCTAATTACGCCTATCTAAAAGCTAGTTTTATTAAAGTTATAGATATTATCTAAATAAACTCTATACTTCTTAACTATCTCTTATACGAGCTTAAACCACGCGTTAATAATCTCTAGATCCTCGTATTAAGTTCTCTAATAATCCTTTATATGACTAAAGGCTATTATAAGCTTGTCTATACAAGTAATAAACTACTCTACCTAGCATTTGCCTAAAGGCTCGCCATCTCGTTCGCGTAGTAGTTTCTCCACTATATCTACTACTTTACATAGATAGAGGGCAAATTCTCGCAAGTCTAGGTCAAGAATATATTGTATAATAGTTTACTCTTTAGACTTAGTTAGCTTCTAGCAATTTAGCTATGTTGTAGGTTAAAAAGTGATTCCTTAAAGCTACTAAGAGATCTACTGATAATAGACGTTATTGTAAGGGGCTGCGCTCTGGGGAGCAATCGCGAGGTATACAAGAGGTTGTATTCGATAGAGAGCTATAGAGTCTACTTGCGTGGTGTTTATTTACTTGTCGGAGAAAGGTTGCACCGAGTGTCTGAGCGCGTCGTCTGGGCGCCGCTCAGGCCTCGCACAGATGCCAGGTTGCAGAGTAAGACCTGGCGTCTGCTGCTTGACCGAGATTCCATCGAGGAGCTATCCCAAAGGGCGTTCAGCCCGTTACAATACCCCCCTCCTTAGGGTGG